TACACTCGGTTTATAAACAAGTAATTTACAATTTTTTTTTACAAAAATTGACCAACATTATTTACATCCACTCATCATGTTCATGAATTGATGGATCAAAATTCAGTCAGTTTTAGATCTCTATGATATACCATAGACAACTTTCACATTTACAAAAGTTATTCCCCTTTGCAGGGTCAATCTGGGGTCAATCGGCTTAAGACGCTGTTTTCCCTCTATATAACCGTACCAACTTTGAGGGTCAATATCTTGGAAGTGAAATCTGTATGAACATGAAAAAAATCCCGGTAAGTTTATTACCCTAACGGAAATTACTTTCCTACAGGCCTGAAGTTCGAGTCTATTAGTCAAATTTAAGAATGTCACGCATCTTTTTTAAAAAGAGTAGCATGTCAGGGAATAAAAATAAAGTAATGTACAATTTAGATAAAGAAAATTAATGTTTGTTGAAGTATTGTTAAACTTCATACCTTTATATAATGAAATCAACAAAAACTGCACAAAAATACAATCGTGACAATTATACAATTAATTCTTTTAATAGATTGCCTCAAGTTAGCATCCACTACTTTAAAAGCCGTTGTTCTTCACGAAAACAAAATGATGCAAAATATTATAGACTTTTCTTTATCTAGAGAAATGGCCTTTGGAGAAAAGAATGGCTGAAATTTTTAAAGTTTGTTAAATATATGTGCATGATCATATATGTGCATTTAGGACCCTACATTGTAATTTTATGCGAAAAGTGCAGACGTTTACTACACGGGGATCTGCGTACAAATAAACAAAAAAGGAAAAAAAAGTTTTATGTAATGAATATCATAACATTATTTAATAAATGCCTTTGTATAGTACGTTGGATTACAAATTTCACACAAAAACTCATCAAGACTATTAAATACAGTGTTGATTTCACATTGATCTATTAAGTAATTCTGATTTAATATAATTATACACGATGAGAATTTAGATCTAATCAATACCTATAGAAAATTATTTAATTTCTAAAGAGCATAGTTTTTTCAAATCAGTAATGAAAATTGAAATAAAAATTCTAAATAGTTCGTTCTTTCATTGAACATCTTAAAATAAATGTACATGTATGTTATTTTATACGTAAATATGTTCTCTTGTATAACTTTATTTATGAAATATACAATTTTTTAATTGATAAAATAACACAAATCGTCATCTTAATTCAAACGAATTTTTGGTCGGAGGCTGTGTGTGTACATGCTCGACAACAGCCCATTGTTCCCTTTAGGTAGAAAACCGTCTCATACAAAAATACACAGTGACAGGTGTTCTTCGCGGCACGTGTCTCCATCTGATATGGCACGTGAGGACAGGTGCCCGTAGTTATTACACAGGCCGACTATAGTGATTTTTTCAAGTGTGGTTTTATTTTTTTTTTTTGAAGGGGGGGGGGGCTTCTCTAGGAAAAAATGAAAAGCAATCCACACACCCCCAATAATAATAATAATTTATTAGATTAAAAAAACAATCTTACTAAAGTAAAATACTAGTATGATAATACTCAGCCCCCAACCAATTCGATGGATTTTATCTGACCAGTTTACATTGATCTCTATGTAACCATACTTACTCTTCTATATTTTGTTTTTTTTAAAGGTCAGACGATACGTTTCCCATTAAGTATCTGTTTTGTGAATCTTCATATTAATGTATAATAAATTTGTATAAAAATCTTTATTACTTTCTATACTGGTTTTTAATAATTTGAAACACTAAAAATGTAATTGTGACAAACCAACTGAAGAATTTTTTCCTGAAGGATTACCCCGGTATATAAGAGATGCCAACCTCTGGTATCTCACACAAAATGCCTTGTAAGGTACCTTGAGTTTTTGTGAATACATGTTATAATGTAAAAAAAAGTAAGTCTTCAATGTCAAAATATTGGAAAAAATTATAATTATATTATTGAGGAACGTCTCATCTGTCCTTAATCACTACATTTTATATAATCGCAACTTGACATATTTCTTTATTTACTTTTTACCTTTTCTGTAAATAATATCATTAAAGGTGCCCTTCGCTCTTGCATTTTTTTCAAAGGAACATTCAACATAGACAGCTTACAAGAAAGTGGGATCGGAAATGATTGATATCTACATAACTGCACTTAATTTTCTCTATTCCATTTCATGCATTCTATACGAGTTTACCAAAACTTATTTAATAAATTTTTAATATTAAATTGCGTTCACGGTGCTGAAATATTAAATTTTATCACGCAGAAATACACATCTAATTATTTTAACTGTTTGAAGGGAAGTTAATTATTTTGATACAGCATGTAAACACTTTTGAAATATTTCTATAATTGGTAAGCATATGGTAACATCAGAAACTTTTTTTAAAATAAAAAGTAGGTTGGTTAGCATTGAGATATACTTTCAAAGTTTCTCTACCTGGGAAACATGCACTCATGTAAGGCTTGGCTGAGTACGACTCAGAATTACGGTAAATTCTGAACCTGGTGTAGGGGTGGTTTAAACCCAGCTTTATAATGTTTCCATGGATTTTTGGGTAGAATATTTCGATACTAGTATTTTGAAATATTTCGATGTTGCAGAAATGTTTTATGGTAATGATTATTGCATTGATAGATTCTGCAGTATTAAAAAAGCTATTCTACAAGAAAAAAATTCATGGTCTTATTGCATGGGGATTTTTCTTTTTGCACAACTTTTCAACAGCTCTTCAATGTACCGTTTTAACACTGATGTAGCTGTAGTATAAAGGTTTGGAAGATACTTTTAAAATACATAAAGGTACATAAACAGGAGTTTTATTGAAACTTACTAATATTATACCAAATATAAATCAAATTACGAATTTTACACTTTCGAACAGCTGATGATACACATTCCAATAATTTCTAATAATGCCGAATTCCCTAGAGATAAAAAGTCTTTCAGTTATCTGATTAATCAGGCTATCTACACGGCCTTAGGAACCGGGCCGGGGGAGGGAGGACATGTCCGTCCCCTATAATCCGCCGCTGTATAAAATTCTCTAGAAAACTTAGCTAATATGTGTTTTCTCCAAAATAAGGTATTATATAAGATTTTTCTTCATTTGATTTTAAACTAAAAATCTAAATTTATACATTGTTCCTTTATTATTTATATACATATTGTGTTTTGGTATTGTTTCTAAATTACTTATTCCAAAGACCCCCATCACTGTTTTCTTCTCTTCAGTCTTTTGCAAAAGCTCTATTGTGTTTGCGATTTTATATTTTCTTATGGTTTGAGTTTCGATGAAAGATGCAGGGATTTGAATTAAATTGTATTGCATTTTTTCGGCATTTTTAATTTACAATTTAACATCAATATATATATTTGTTTTTAGATAAATCCTTTTAATTTTTAACCAGTTACTAGTATATTAAAACTTGTTTTGAAGTGCTGTAATATTAGGAAACCTTTTATCCTTCAACATTTGATACGAGTAAGTCAAGATTAGGTAAACCTTACTCAGTTTTATAGTGTGCAACAGAAATGCGACCTGGGTAATCCCGACTCAACTGGGGTTTAAACCCGGATTACGTGATCCACGGATCAGCCTCTGAGCTGTACTTATCTGAGCCATAGATACGCTACCGGCCATCTGTGTTGTAACATGAACAACCTTAGTATACATACTAATATAGACCAACTGAGGCCCTTGTCCCCAAGTTGATATAGAACTTGCAGTATTGTAACATGAACAACCTCAATATATACTAAAATAGACCAACTGAGGCCCTTGTCCCCAAGTTGACATAAAACTTGCAGTGTTCCTAAATTACAAACATGAGACTGAAGCAGCTGAGACCCTTGTACCCAAGCTGATATTATATTTGATAGGCACACCAGCCGCCTGCCTTAGTATGACATCCAATTTTGGGAAATACAGACCCCGCTTCTCCCCGAGTTCTTGTTCCCCAGATCATTAAACTTGTAACATAGGAACCCGAATGTACTTTTAAAAAGACTTTGTATTCCACCTGCCCATTTGTTGAATTTGCTCCTCGGTAAAACCCTTGGCCCATGCAGTCGTTGCTGCCCCTATTCTGAAACTGTGTGATTTATAATCTTTTACACTCAAACCAACATATTTCAAGGATAGTTGAAGCTGTTCAGAAAAGAAATGACGCGACACTTGAGAGTTATTCATAAAAGAAAACAGGGTTTGTACTTTAGAAGCTTCTTGACCCCTAATTTTCAAGTAATTCCATAAAGATAAAACCGGACACATTTCTTCGGATGTTTTGTTTGCAGTTATTAGAAGCACTGGGATGTGTTTACCTGTACTATGTTTGAACTTTGACATTTGAATTTCCATTGCTGTGGGCTGAACACCTTGTTCATACACAAATTTTACATTATTTACAGTTAAGCAGTTGCCGTTTGGTGGTGGTAAACCAGTAATTTCCCCAATTCTCAAAAAGGCATGGAATGCTATTAAATACATTGCTCGTAGCATTACTCGTACAAACTGTGATGAACAAGTATGGGGTAATGAACTTACTAATCCCTTTAAAATCGAAGGTGTAATTGGTAAGCGATTGTCTTTAATTTTTTGAATTTTTGTGTATCCACGAAGTGTTTTAATTACTATGAAGTGTTGGGTCACATCATTATATCCCCCCAACTTCAGTAAATAGCTGATAGCAGATACATATGTTAATACTGTGGATGTGGCTAACTCTTTTTGAAAACAATGTGCAATAAACATAGTGACATGTTCAAGGGTAGCTGGGAAAACTGGAGTGCTGGGAAAGTATTCCTGCAAAAATTGTTTATAGAAATAATAAATGCGTCTATAAGATTGCCGAGATGTTTTTTCTAGAGATTCTGTAAGTAACCACGATGCCAAATTTTTTAAAGATTCTGCATTTCCACTAACTCTACAACTGGCCGAGGATCCATATGAGGGAATTCTGTCTTGATCGAATTGTTTGATCTGCAAACGAGAAAGATGGTCAGCTGCAACGTTTATTATCCCCGCAATATGACATGCTTTAAACAAAATATTGTATTTCAAAATGTGCAGAACAAATTTTCTGACCAATTTCATAATTGTTTTATCTTTGGATGTCTGTTTATTAATTATATGAACTACTGCTATATTGTCAGAGTGGAAAATTACACATTTGTCCCTCAGCTCATGGCCTCACAATTCCAATGCAACAACGACTGGAAATAATTCCCGAATTGTGATGTGATAATTTAACCACTCATCATTCCATTTACTATAAAACCACCTTGTTCCAAAAATGCCCCCAAAGCCCAAGTTACTAGCATCAGTATATAGATTAAGCTCCTGAGAAGATTCCCACTTGTCCGACAGAAAGAAACTTTTACCATTGAAACTTTCTGCAAATATATACCAGGCGTTAATATCTGCTCTTGCTTCATTTGTGAGCCTACGATAATGATTAGGTTTCTTTAACCCTACTGTTAAGTCAATAATTCGTCTCAAAAAAGCCCGACCTGGAGATACCACTTGGCAAGCAAAATTCAAGAGCCCTACTAATGACTGAATTTCTTCTAGTGTAACTTTTCTTCTGCTTTTGAAATATTCTAGGCGTTCACGTAATTTTATAAGCTTATCATTAGGTAGCCTAACTTCCATCCTCTCCGAGTCAAATTCCAGCCCCAAAAATGTAATGGTAGTAGTTGGTTGAATTGTCTTCTCTTTTTTAATAGGCAAACCTATTTCTTTAGCCATACTTAAAAACTGTGATAACGTCTGCTTACATAACTGAGAACCAGCTGGTCCCACAAAAAGAAAATCATCTAAGATATGAACACACCCTCCACTTCTCATCTTATTGTTAACAATCCAGTGTAAGGAACTACTAAATGCTTCAAACAACCTACATGAGTAGCTTAAACCCATGGGTAATGTTTTGTCATAGTAAAATTCACCATTTATTGCAAAACCTAGCAAGTCGTGACAACTGGGGTGTATGGGAATGATTTTATAACTATTTTCTATATCTGTCTTAGACAATAAGCAACCTTTCCCATAAAACTTGACCAACTTAATGGCATCATCTACTGTCTGATACTGAACTGTGCATAACTCATCTGGGATTCCATCATTGATTGATTTATCATTAGGATAAGAGAGATGATGAATGACCCTAAATTCCCCGGGAACTTTTTTAGGCACCAAACCTAATGGGGAGACTTGTAAATTAGGGAAAGGAACTTTAACAAAAGGTCCAGCGACCCGTCCTGCTTCGACCTCTTTTGAAATTTTTTCTATCAAAATTTCTGGGTGTTCTACTGCAGACTGTAGATTTTTACTGAATCTGTACTTTCTTTCCCCCTTGTAAGGTATAACAAAACCTTGCCTAAACCCATTAATAAGAAATTGTTTGTTTTGCTTATCATACCCATCCAGCCATTTACTAAATTTTAAAACACTGATTGGAGTAATTACACTATTTTGTGGAAGTGCTCTTAGATCCACTTGGCCTTTTTTGGTCAAGGTTTGACCCTGCATCTGACCTTTTTCTTTTATGACACTGGGTTTTACATTCTTTCTTGCTGTGCATACCTCCACATTTTTCACAGACATGGGGGTATCCACAGTCTGGCCCTCGCTCACACTCGCCATTGTTGTTGTAACTGTAGCAATAGAGCCCTCTCCTGGAGTTCCGCAATGGAACTCCAGCAGAGAGAAAGGGCGGCCCCCGACTAAGACTCGACTTGTTTTGGCTTTGGCCGGTACCCTTCAGGGAATTGAATTTAGCTGTAATCCCCAAGGACACAGATTCTGTGTATAGTTCATTGTTTACCTGATCCCAGGGTAATTTTTTCCAATCATGCTCGCGCCATTCCCGAAAGGTACGGTCATAATTAAAAGCTGCAATATCACCTGACCTTCTTGCTAATGTTTGAATTGTATTTGCATATTTCATTAAGGCGCAAGCTTGGTCTGGGTACTTTTCACAATAAATACTAACAAATATATGGAAGGCAGACAGCCAGTGTGCCACAGACTCAAAACGATATTTTGGAGGTGGTTGTTTCTCCCAACTTATCCCCCCCTGTTGGGATTCAATGACCTGAAAACGTACCTTAGGAAATTTTTTGTTTAATAAACTCCCTAGATCAATATATTCGTTTGCCCAAATCTTCGCTTTAATTTTGGGATCAACCCCCAATGCCAGCGGTTTTGAAATACTCGGACTTGAAAAATTTATACATGAAGCAGTTGTTTCCAATTCTAGAGACTGCTGATCAAGTTGTGCATTATTATTACCTGTGCTCAAAAATTGTGTTAAACTGTCATTCATGTTGGAGTTCTGGGTCGAACCAGCCGTGGAACAAGTTCCTGCTGTCTCTGTGCTTAAATCAGAGGAAGCCGATGTTATAGGTGTTTGTTGTGGACTGACTTCCACTGATGTTGAAGGTATTGGGGGTGTTTCAGATTGTTGTACTTGTTGAGGCATGGGAATGACTCCTTGAGCCTTAAGTGCTGCGATTACTGAGTTAGTTATGTCTGGAATGGCGGCCCTTATTTGCTGTTGGACTTGATTATGGAATTGTACCCCCGGATCTTCAACCACAGCTTGTATGGTTTGAGTGTGATTACTTGGACTTGGAATGTTATGTGGTGCCGGTCGTTTACTTGCTAAACGCCTTGACTTTCTTGGTGGCTCTGCCATATCCTAGAAATAAAAGGGGTGTAACTCATCTAGTGTGAAATGCTATGTTTGATCATTAATTTTACTAATGTAATATATCATTATTTGTATGAGTCATTTAGTGTACAGTTACCGGGCTGGGAATCAAGGATAGCATGTACTAATATGCAGTACTCGCATAGCGGAGTAGTAAGTACCAGTGTACTAAATGAGTCCCTGTACTAGTGTACAGTACTTGCATAGCAGAGTAGTTAGTACCAGTGTACTAAATGAGTCCCCGTACTAGTGTACAGTACTTGCATAGCAGAGTAGTTAGTACCAGTGTACTAAGAGTTCCTGTACTAGTGTACAGTTCACACATAGTTAGTACCAGTGCACTAAAAACATGTACCAGTGTACTGCATCATTAAATAGCAGAGTAGTAACATGTCATATACTGTTTGTTTAATTGTACAAGTGTAAAATATTGTATAAGTACAGTTTCGTAATAATGCACAGTTACAATGTAGGGGAATTATAATGCACTGTTACAATGTAGGGCAACACCAATGTACTGCAGCATTATTCAAACTGATTACACTTTTACTCAAAAGATTTTGATGCTTACGTGATATATCTAATAATTGCTGGCAATTAGGTGTTGATCCCCCCTGTAAATTACTGTAAATGCCAAGTCATAGACTTTCAGAGCTTGTGACCTGAAATAGTAAATATTTTGAAAATATGCATGTACATCTACACTTAGACCAACATAGACAGAAAAAATCATCATAATCTAGAAACATATATATATATATCAATTAGATTCTTATCGCTTGTATGATTGCCCCCCGCATGTTCCTGTAATACTTATTGTTGCCTTCATCATTAAAATGGACACCATCAATGTATACATTATGTGGACTATTCTTAACTCCCTGAATGTTCCAGTAGCGCAAGGAACCCCCACCCTGGATTTCTTTCTTTAAAAAAGCATTAAATATTCTGACAGTATCGTTGTAAATTGCTACTGATACATTCCGGGTATGATAGCGGGGCAACAACTGCATAATTGTGACACTCTTAATGTCGAATTTACATTTAACACTATCTATGAAAGCGATTAAGCGCAATGCTATTTCATTAGCTAGTTTCTCGGAACACTCTCTGTCATCCAAATCATTTCCACCCGCGTGAAAGATAAGATGGTGTGGTAGCCACCTTGATATTTGCTGTTCCCATCGCTGGCAGTGAGCTGAGTCATTAATGCGGCCTCCACCGATACCATAAAAATTTACAAGGGGATCGTTTCCCAATGCAAAATTATTTAACTGGGGATTCCTGTCTATAAATTGTTTCAGACGATTCGTATGGGAACTCCCCAAAATCAACACGCGTGTCATTGTCTGAATTTCGTTAATGACCTTGACCTCTCTGACTGATACGAGGCCCAAATTATCTCACTAACGTTATATGAGCAACTGGTCACTGATGCCGCAAATGTCAGTTTCGATGTGGTCCGTTGTTAAATGGCGTGTCCCTCTGTTTCAATATTTCACTAATTAATATCTTAATTTACAAGTAGTCACACCTGCGCGCCATTCCACTGCCAACATGGCTCCATGCTCAAATTGTTGCTGAGCCCGCGCAATGCGGGGAAAAATCTAGGATGAATTTTCGTATATAATACTGTTTATAACAATTTCCACCCAAAACTCGGTCTGCAATAACGTATAACACTGACTGACTTACATACCGTTCACTTTTTTGTAAAATCAAGTCAAAAGTACATGTGGATTCTGCATGGAGCCCTTGCTTGGGATTCTGCATGGAGCCCTTGCTTGGGAAGGTTTTTATGACGTATATCCGGAGGTGCGCGCAATGCGTCAATTCATACCAAGTTAGCCAATCTACATTTCTGTGAAGTGTAATGTTAGAGTTATCCCCCTTTTACTACAAAGATGTGCCATAAAATTATTTATAAAATATAAATGTGCTTATGCTGTTAAACTAGCTTTGAATACAACAACCGTGCGTTTTAAATTTATTTGCCATTTGTGTTATTTAGCTTTCCAACGACATAAACGGTTTCTAATACATGCCAGCACACCAGTTCTAAAAGTCGCTAAATTGATGTAAAGATTACCGAAATAAACAATTGTGAGAGATAAAAATTAGAAAATGTAAATATAAGAACTGAATTCTTATTTTTGGATGTCGTCGGTCTTTTAACACACCTGGCCGTAAAGAAGCAAAGCAACGAACAACGCGTGGTATTCAATTTGTTGGCATAACCAGGTATATTATAATACTGACGACATCCAAAAATTTATTAGCATACCCCTGAATAAGCCACATCAATATTCTAGTACTTTCGCTAAAGAAATCCGCTTTACGGTCTATATGTAAAGAGATTATGAAATAAATCTGAAACTGATACCCCTATTTTATAAAGGATTGTTGTTGTTGATATGTAAATATAACAAAAATACTAATACATCATGAATGACAATTCTGGAAAATTAACGTCAATAATATACATTTTTATATAGTCTATTTACAGTCCTTATATACATGTAATCTATACAAACGCACACAGTTCATAACACTACATATTCACCGGATTTTAGGCCGTATTCACTGGAGGGTCGATTCGCGTGCAACGGCATTGTGACGTCACAATCAAAACATCAAACAACGTTGTAAACAATGGTTGTAACGGCCGCAGAGAGCTACGTATCTGAGCAGGAAAACAATTATTCAAACCTATTTCAGGATTATTCTTTAACATTTGGACGTCTTACACATAGCGAAACTCGGAATGGAAAACTCGGAGGTTACAAAAAGTAATCTAGAGATTTTTTTATTTTCAACAATGGAAGATCGTAAATGAAAATGGTGTCGTCATACAGCCTTCAATGTATTTTTTATTCAAATCCCGACTATATAATAAAACAATTATGGACTCTTTTGGTGTTGAATATGGTTTGTTATTCACCAGAAAAATATCCATATTGACCTCGGCTTCGCCTCGGTCAATATGAATATTTTTCTGGTGAATAACAAACCATATTCAACACCAAAGGAGTCCATAATTGTATAATAATTGCTGTTTTTGAGGTCAATACAATGATTAAGCCATCTGAGGAGTACAATATTCACCGAGCCCGAAGGGCGAGGTTAATCTTGTACTTTTCAGATGGCTAAATCATTGTTCGGGCTTGGTGAATATTGTACTCCTCAAATGGCTAAATCATTGTTCGGGCTTGATGAATATTGTACTTCTCAGATGGCTAAATCTTTGTTCGGACTTGGTGAATATTGTACTCCCAGATGGCTAAATCATTGTATTGACCTCAAAAACAGCAATAATTGTTATACCTGCACTTTCTAAAGAAAGTTCGGGTATATTGTTGTTACTCATGTCCGTCCGTCCGTCTGTCACACTTTTCTTCCCTGAACTCCTCCTACATTTTACACAGTAGCTTAATCATCTTTTGGGAGATGGTTGGTGGTGTCATGTAGATGTGCAGTAAGGTTTCGGAATTTTGATTTTGCCCCGGGGGGTCAAATGGGGGTCGAAAAATGACGTTTTTTATGCTAAAAGCCCCGTCTTCCCTGAACTACTTCTACATTTTACTTAGCAGCCTAATCATCTGTTGGGAGATGGTTGGTGGTGTCATGTAGATGTGCAATAAGGTTTTGGAATTTTGATTTTGCCCCAGGGGGTCAAATGGGGGTCGAAAAATGACATTTTTTATGCTAAAAGCCCCGTCTTCCCTGAACTCCTTCTACATTTTACTCAGCAGCCTAATCATCTTTTGGGAGATGGTTGGTGGTGTCATGTAGATGTGCAGTAAGGTTTCGGAATTTTGATTTTGCCCCGGGGGTCAAATGGGGGTCGAAAAATGACGTTTTTTTTATGCTAAAAGCCCCGTCTTCCCTGAACTACTTCTACATTTTACTCAGCAGCCTAATCATCTTTAGGGAGATGGTTGGTGGTGTCATGTAGATGTGCAGTAAGGTTTTGGAATTTTGATTTTGCCCCGGGGGGTCAAATGGGGGTCGAAAAATGACATTTTTTATGCTAAAAGCCCCGTCTTCCCTGAACTCCTTCTACATTTTACTCAGCAGCCTAATCATCTTTTGGGAGATGGTTGGTGGTGTCATGTAGATGTGCAGTAAGGTTTCGGAATTTTGATTTTGCCCCGGGGGTCAAATGGGGGTCGAAAAATGACGTTTTTTTTATGCTAAAAGCCCCGTCTTCCCTGAACTACTTCTACATTTTACTCAGCAGCCTAATCATCTTTTGGGAGATGGTTGGTGGTGTCATGTAGATGTGCAGTAAGGTTTCAGTATTTTTATTTTGCCCCAGGGGGTCAAATGGGGGTCGAAAAATGATGTTTTTTATGCTAAAAGCCCCGTCTTTCCTGAACTCCTTCTACATTTTACTCAGCAGCCTAATCATCTTTTGGGAGATGATTGGTGGTGTCATGTAGATGAGCAGTAAGGTTTAGGTATTTTGATTTTGCCCCGGGGGGTCAAATGGGGGTCGAAAAATGATGTTTTTTTATGCTAACAGCCCCGTCTTCCCTGAACTCCTTCTACAGTTTACTCAGCAGCCTAATCATCTTTTGGGAAATGGTTGGTGGTGTCATGTAGATGTGCAGTAAGGTTTCGGTATTTTGATTTTGCCCCGGGGGTTCAAATTGGGATTGAAAAATGATATTTTTTATGCTAAAAGCCCCGTCTTCCCTGAACTCCTTCTACATTTTACTCAGCAGCCTAATCATCTTTAGGGAGATGATTGGTGGTGTCATGTAGATGTGCAGTAAGGTTTCAGAATTTTAATTTTGCCCCGGGGGGTCAAATCAGTAGCCTGATCATCTTTTAGGAGAGTTAAATATTTTGAAAATTTTTGATTTTGCCCCGGGGGTCAAATGGGGGTCGAAAAATGACGTTTTTTTAGGCCTAGAAAAAAAATATGTTTGTTTCTGCTTTCCCGACCGACCCTAATTTATAGTGCCGACCCTAAACATTTTTTTAATGCTTTTGTCCCATGTCATGATGATATGCAAGATTTCACCCAGGGAATTATAGTCTCCAACTTTGCAAGCTTTTCAAGACAGAAAGAAGTTTGGGTCACCTTTCTATTATAAGTTTAAGTCACAGAAATGCTTGAAAACACTATTTCTTTTGTCATTAATGTTACTTCTATACATGTTTTGATTAAAGAAGCAAAAAAAAATTTTTCAAAAAAAAATTGCCTACCTACCTACCTACCCTATACTTTTTCAGCCTGAAAGCAGAAACAAACATATTTTTTTTCTAGGCCTTATGCTAAAAGCCCCGTCTTCCCTGAACTACTTCTACATTTTACTCATCAGCCTAATCATCTTTAGGGAGATGGTTGGTGGTGTCATGTAGATGTGCAGTAAGGTTTTGGAATTTTGATTTTGCCCCGGGGGGTCAAATGGGGGTCGAAAAATGACATTTTTTTAATGCTAAAAACCCCTTCTTCCCTGAACTCCTTCTACATTTTACTCAGCAGCCTAATCATCTTTTGGGAGATGGTTGGTGGTGTCATGTAGATGTGCAGTAAGGTTTCGGAATTTTGATTTTGCCCCGGGGGTCAAATGGGGGTCGAAAAATGACGTTTTCTTTATGCTAAAAGCCCCGTCTTCCCTGAACTACTTCTACATTTTACTCAGCAGCCTAATCATCTTTTGGGAGATGGTTGGTGGTGTCATGTAGATGTGCAGTAAGGTTTCAGTATTTTGATTTTGCCCCAGGGGGTCAAATGGGGGTCGAAAAATGATGTTTTTTTATGCTAAAAGCCCCGTCTTTCCTGAACTCCTTCTACATTTTACTCAGCAGCCTAATCATCTTTTGGGAGATGATTGGTGGTGACATGTAGATGTGCAGTAAGGTTTAGGTATTTTGATTTTGCCCCGGGGGGTCAAATGGGGGTCGAAAAATGATGTTTTTTATGCTAAAAGTCCCGTCTTCCCTGAACTCCTTCTACAGTTTACTCAGCAGCCTAATCATCTTTTGGGAAATGGTTGGTGGTGTCATGTAGATGTGCAGTAAGGTTTCGGTATTTTGATTTTGCCCCGGGGGTTCAAATTGGGGTTGAAAAATGACATTTTTTATGCTAAAAGCCCCGTCTTCCCTGAACTACTTCTACATTTTACTCAGCAGCCTAATCATCTTTAGGGAGATGGTTGGTGGTGTCATGTAGATGTGCAGTAAGGTTTTGGAATTTTGATTTTGCCCCGGGGGGTCAAATGGGGGTCGAAAAATGACATTTTTTATGCTAAAAGCCCCGTCTTTCCTGAACTCCTTCTACATTTTACTAAGATCACTAATCATGTGTTGGGAGATGGTTGGTGGTGTCATGTTGATGTGCAGTAAGGTTTCGGAATTTTGATTTTGCCCCGGGGGTCAAATGGGGGTCGAAAAATGACGTTTTTTTAATGCTAAAAGCCCCGTCTTCCCTGAACTACTTCTACATTTTACTCAGCAGCCTAATCATCTTTTGGGAGATGGTTGGTGGTGTCATGTAGATGTGCAGTAAGGTTTCGGAATTTTGATTTTGCCCCGGGGGTCAAATGGGGGTCGAAAAATGACGTTTTCTTTATGCTAAAAGCCCCGTCTTCCCTGAACTACTTCTACATTTTACTCAGCAGCCTAATCATCTTTTGGGAGATGGTTGGTGGTGTCATGTAGATGTGCAGTAAGGTTTCAGTATTTTGATTTTGCCCCAGGGGGTCAAATGGGGGTCGAAAAATGATGTTTTTTATGCTAAAAGCCCCGTCTTTC